CCCCTGTGCAGGCGCGTATTAAGGGGGGGCGGGGAGGGGGCGATCGCCCCCCTGTCGCCTCTAGACAGCCGCCTGAAAGGTAGGCAATTTGCGCCACAAAACCCCTGTATGTAGGCAACCGACAGTGCATCGCCCCCCCTGTCAGCCGGACCTTAATACGCCCCTGCCCCTGTGGTCCACAAGATAGCCGCCTAAAGGTAGACAATTTGGCCTGCAAAACCCCTTATGTTGGCAACTTTCGATACGCCCCTCCCTACCCACCTTAACACGCCCCTGGTCGCCCCTGGTACTGGCCGCGTGCACAGGTGCGAACGGGGTTGCCTGTCTCTAGCAATGGCGTCTAACGACCCCGTGCCAATAGGCAACCTGTCAGCACGCCTGCGTGCGGGCGAGTATACGCATTTGCTCCAAAGGGGCCCTGGTGCAGCAGAGACCCTGTATCGACACCTCTCTGGTTTTCCATAATACTCCACCGATAATATCCTGATTACAGCGGATATCAACCTGTCGTGAGTCGAGACTTTACAGAATGAGTGCGTGGACACCAGAAGGCAGAAGGTGTCCAGTAACGATAGTATGCACTAAGTTACTCTATGTAACAACACGTACGTGTGCGTGTAACAGTGGTTACATTCATAATTTGACGTTACCGTTTGTTACACAAAGTGGTAAATATTGCATATAAAATAAAATCCGTGGGAGCTGTTACACGTCTAACTATGCTCGGGAAGCATAGCTCTATATTTACAATAAACAAAAAATAATTTTGTTATACAAAGCATTTGTGTAACACCCGTTACTGAAAGTAATTTGTATAAAACTGTTACGTAAAATAATGTGTATCCGATGTTACAAACGCATACGAACGTAACAAAGAGCTTTTGTATCATGTTACATAAAGTGATTTTCAGTGTGTTCAGTGGTCAGTCGACTTAAGTCGCTCGGCAGCTGAACACCCCTGATTTTCAATATACTCCGCGGCCTCGTCTCGTGCCGATGTCATAACAAGAAGGCAATAAGAAATTAAGAGCCGATCGGCGCAGCACAATATCATCGGAAGTCGGCCGACACCCGGATGGCTCCCGCCTGACGCAAACGGCAACAGCGGCAGCGGGGAGAGAAATTGCCCCTCGCACCGTCCTTGTCTAACGCGCTGCAGAGCTCCTGCTGGTCGTAGATAGAGAGAGAGGGAGAGAGCGAGCGAGAACGAGAGAGATCGACTGGGTTTGAAAAAACACACACGCACACACGCAGGCTGTGCGGTTCGCCCCCAGGCCATACACAACCTAACCTGCATACATCCGCATCAGGCCGTCCGATATCGTCTCATCCTGTCCTTTCTCGTTGTCTGCGATATCTTCTTTTCAAATCCAGATTCCTTTCCTCCCTTTCCCTTTCCCCTTGAATCAGGCCGACACACACACACACAGCCTTTCTAATATCGCGTGTTTTCTGTTTTTCACGTGATCGGCGCCAGCAAAAGAGATGCCTCTCGCTTTAGATGAGAGGAAAGGGATGAACCGCGCGCAAAAAGAGGCTTTGTGGGGCGTCTGGCGGCTTCGAGCTCGGGCCGGGCGGTGCTGTTACGTTGTACTTCGGCGAAAGGGTGTATAACGTCTTTGAACGGGTCCTGGCCGTACTAACGTGGGTAAGTTTGGCCCTGCCGTCCCCGGCGAGCGGGGGGCCATGGGCCTGGGCCGGCCTGGGCCCGGCCTGGGCCATCACACGCACCCAAAAACTCACCTTGTACCTCGTCCGGCTGCTATCATTACACCAAAGTGGAGTAGAGGCCAGAGGGCCCCGCCGGCCCGGCTCGGCTCGGCGCGGCCAGGTTCGGTTCGGCTCGGTTCGAACACCCTTCCCTTCTCTCTTCCCGTCATGTTCGCCGCGCCGAGGTTGACGTGGCGTGCACAACGCGGCGGGCCCAAAGAACGGGAAGAAAAATAAAAAGCGCACAAATATAACGGCCTCGCTCGCCCAAAACGAAAATATCAGTTCAGGTCGCGACGGTTCCGATAATTTTGATGACTGTGTTGGTCGCGCTTTCCTAAGCAGGGTAAGTGCGGATTGCGTGTAAAACAAGGGGCAGGGGACCTCGGGACCTCGCCTCCACAAGCGCGGCGCCCGCTGACCCCAAGATAACATCTTGCTCGCTTTTATGACGAGTCCTGTCCACCGCACCGCATGCTTCTGACCTTCTTACTGGCCGCGCGCAGGGTTCAAACTCCCGAAAATCGCCTGTCTTGCACGTCCATCGGCGCCCACTGGAGCCGTGGACTCCGTCATGATCCGGTGGAGCTGATGCCGGGGACCCGGACACGGACGGGGCCCGGGCAGATTTTCCCAGGCGCTGGGCCGCTGGGCCTGGGCAGGATCGGCCGGTTGGGCTCGGGCGGCCCCGTGTCTGATAGATCGGTCATGTTTTCCAAAAGAGGCGACGCGGTCCCGTCTCGGTCCCGTCCATGGAATGTAAATTCAGCCTTGAGGGGGTACGCCTGGTGCCTGGTGTGTACAGCGCGCTGCTTAATAGTCAGCCAGCTTTTGGGGAAAGGGAATGGGGGGGGGGGGGGAGGAAGGGCCGAGGGGAAAGATGGCGGGCGCGGGAAGGCATTGTTCTATAGCCTGCGGGCTCCATGCTGGAACCCCCCGCAGGGCCATGTGGGTGCCCTGTAAACTGGAACTCCAAAAAAAGAGTCTCTTTGGCCTCGAGCAAAATAAAGCAGCTTACCTGAGCGCATTTTCGACGTGGACTCCTCGTGCGATGGAGCGCCTTTCCTTCCCCGCCCGAGAGACGACGCGTGCCAGATTTGCATCTCGGCAACTCAACGCCCCCCCCCCCCTCTCTCTGCTCATCATTTCTGCCACAAAGCAGCCGGCAATAATTGGCGAAGTGCGTCATGACTTTAACGCCATGAGCGTAAACCGTGAGGAGGCATAGCAGCGCATCACCTCTCTCTCCCCTCCCGCGTCCCTCCATCCGTGCACGCTCAGTCTAACTTCTCAAACTCATTGTCAGCGCAGCCCATAGCAGTTTCTTCCATTCTCTGGATGTTGTTAATGATGGCAATATAATTTTTATAAACCAGAAATATTCAGAGAAAAACACACGAACCATCAGATACGACAGTGTTGCGGGTTTGCCTACTCTCTTAACCGGTGAGGCGCCATGGCCACGGCTCTACCAGCGAGTATGCCATCCCTAAATACTGTGATGTCCGCTCTGAAAGACCCGGTACAGGCGTTGTTTTAAAGGACACCAATATGTCCCATACGTTCTGTGTGAGCTGGA